CTAACATCATTGAAGCTAAAGTCACTGACGTTAACGTCACTAAAGCTAACTTTACTAAAGCTAACGTCACTGACACTAATCTCACTGAAGCTAACGTCACTGACGCTAACATCATTGAAGCTAAAGTCACTGACGTTAACGTCACTAAAGCTAACTTTACTAAAGCTGGCGTCACTGAAGCTAACGTCACTGAAGCTAACTTTACTAAAGCTGACGTCACTGAAGCCAACGTCACTAAAGCTAACTTTACTAAAGCTGACGTCACTGACGCTAACATCACTGAAGCTAAAGTCACTGACGTTAACGTCACTAAAGCTAACTTTACTAAAGCTGACGTCACTGAAGCTAACGTCACTGACACTAATATCACTGAAGCTAACGTCACTGACGCTAACATCACTGAAGCTAACGTCACTGACGTTAACGTCACTGACGCTAACGTCACTGACGCTAACGTCACTGACGCTAACTTTACTAAAGCTGACGTCACTGAAGCTAACGTCACTGAAGCTAACTTTACTAAAGCTGACGTCACTGAAGCTAACGTCACTGAAGCTAACGTCACTGACACTAATCTCACTGAAGCTAACGTCACTGATGCTAACATCACTGAAGCTAACTTTACTAAAGCTGACGTCACTGAAGCTAACGTCACTGACACTAATATCACTGAAGCTAACGTCACTGAAGCTAACGTCACTGAAGCTAACGTCACTGAAGTTAACTTTAAAGCTAACATCACTGACGCTAACATCACTGACGTTAACGTCACTAAAGCTAACTTTACTAAAGCTAACGTCACTGACACTAATCTCACTGAAGCTAACGTCACTGATGCTAACATCACTGAAGCTAACGTCACTGAAGCTAACGTCACTGAAGCTAACTTTAAAGCTAACATCACTGACATTAACGTCACTAAAGCTAACTTTAAAGCTAACATCACTGACATTAACGTCACTAAAGCTAACTTTACTAAAGCTAACGTCACTGACACTAATCTCACTGAAAGTAACGTCACTGACGCTATCACTGAAGCTAAAGTCACTGACGTTAACGTCACTAAAGCTAACTTTACTAAAGCTAACGTCACTGACACTAATCTCACTGAAGCTAACGTCACTGACGCTAACATCATTGAAGCTAAAGTCACTGACGTTAACGTCACTAAAGCTAACTTTACTAAAGCTGACGTCACTGAAGCTAACTTTACTAAAGCTGACGTCACTGACGCTAACATCACTGAAGCTAAAGTCACTGACGTTAACGTCACTAAAGCTAACTTTACTAAAGCTGACGTCACTGAAGCTAACGTCACTGAAGCTAACTTTACTAAAGCTGACGTCACTGAAGCTAACGTCACTAAAGCTAACTTTACTAAAGCTGACGTCACTGACGCTAACATCACTGAAGCTAAAGTCACTGACGTTAACGTCACTAAAGCTAACTTTACTAAAGCTGACGTCACTGACGCTAACATCACTGAAGCTAAAGTCACTGACGTTAACGTCACTAAAGCTAACTTTACTAAAGCTGACGTCACTGAAGCTAACGTCACTGAAGCTAACTTTACTAAAGCTGACGTCACTGACGCTAACGTCACTGACACTAATCTCACTGAAGCTAACGTCACTGACGCTAACATCATTGAAGCTAAAGTCACTGACGTTAACGTCACTAAAGCTAACTTTACTAAAGCTGACGTCACTGAAGCTAACGTCACTGAAGCTAACTTTACTAAAGCTGACGTCACTGAAGCTAACGTCACTAAAGCTAACTTTACTAAAGCTGACGTCACTGACGCTAACATCACTGAAGCTAAAGTCACTGACGTTAATGTCACTAAAGCTAACTTTACTAAAGCTGACGTCACTGAAGCTAACGTCACTGAAGCTAACTTTACTAAAGCTGACGTCACTGACGCTAACGTCACTAAAGCTAACTTTACTAAAGCTGACGTCACTGACACTAATCTCACTGAAGCTAATGTCACTGACGTTAATGTCACTAAAGCTAACTTTACTAAAGCTGACGTCACTGAAGCTAACGTCACTGAAGTTAACTTTACTAAAGCTGACGTCACTGAAGCTAACGTCACTGACACTAATCTCACTGAAGCTAACGTCACTGACATTAACGTCACTAAAGCTAACTTTACTAAAGCTGACGTCACTGAAGCTAACGTCACTGAAGCTAACGTCACTGACGTTAACGTCACTAAAGCTAACTTTACTAAAGCTAACGTCACTGACACTAATCTCACTGAAGCTAACGTCACTGACGTTAACGTCACTAAAGCTAACGTCACTAAAGCTGACGTCACTGAAGCTAACGTCACTGACACTAATCTCACTGAAGCTAACGTCACTGACGTTAATGTCACTAAAGCTAACTTTACTAAAGCTGACGTCACTGAAGCTAACATCACTGAAGCTAAAGTCACTGACGCTAACTTTACTGAAGCTAAGATCACTGACGCTAACGTCACTGACGCTAACTTTAAAGCTAACATCACTGACGCTAACGTCACTAAAGCTAACTTTACTAAAGCTAACGTCACTGACACTAATCTCACTGAAGCTAACGTCACTGATGCTAACATCACTGAAGCTAAAGTCACTGACGTTAACGTCACTGAAGCTAACGTCACTGAAGCTAACTTTAAAGCTAACATCACTGACGTTAACGTCACTAAAGCTAACTTTACTAAAGCTAACGTCACTGACACTAATCTCACTGAAAGTAACGTCACTGACGCTAACATCATTGAAGCTAAAGTCACTGACGTTAACGTCACTAAAGCTAACTTTACTAAAGCTGACGTCACTGAAGCTAACGTCACTGAAGCTAACTTTACTAAAGCTGACGTCACTGAAGCCAACGTCACTAAAGCTAACTTTACTAAAGCTGACGTCACTGACGCTAACATCACTGAAGCTAAAGTCACTGACGTTAACATCACTAAAGCTAACTTTACTAAAGCTGACGTCACTGAAGCTAACGTCACTGACACTAATATCACTGAAGCTAACGTCACTGACGCTAACATCACTGAAGCTAAAGTCACTGACGTTAACGTCACTAAAGCTAACTTTACTAAAGCTGACGTCACTGAAGCTAACGTCACTGAAGCTAACTTTACTAAAGCTGACGTCACTGAAGCTAACGTCACTAAAGCTAACTTTACTAAAGCTGACGTCACTGACGCTAACATCACTGAAGCTAAAGTCACTGACGTTAATGTCACTAAAGCTAACTTTACTAAAGCTGACGTCACTGAAGCTAACGTCACTGAAGCTAACTTTACTAAAGCTGACGTCACTGACGCTAACGTCACTGACACTAATCTCACTGAAGCTAATGTCACTGACGTTAATGTCACTAAAGCTAACTTTACTAAAGCTGACGTCACTGAAGCTAACGTCACTGACACTAATCTCACTGAAGCTAACGTCACTGACGTTAACGTCACTAAAGCTAACTTTACTAAAGCTGACGTCACTGAAGCTAACGTCACTGACACTAATCTCACTGAAGCTAAGATTAATATCAGATTAATAAATAAGTACCGGACAGGTGGACAACAGTGATCAGGTCTGATCGCGTTGTAGAACACAGATGGCTGTTTATTTATATTTCACATATTTTAAGTTAATCAGATATGGAGCTTGTTCGTTTCAGACGCTGGTACACGTGTGTTGTCATCAGGGTTGTCGTGTTGGTGCAGGAAGTGTTTATTTCTTTTAAATGTTGGGAAATCTAAATCAAACCATGAAAATCTGGAGGTTTGGAAAGACAAACAATCATCAGTGTAGTCCTTCACAAACACTGCGAGAGAGGAAGAAGAAAAACCCTCTCTCTGAGAATAATTCATGTTGTTCACTTATAAAGAGTCTGAATTCACTGTTTTCTTCCTCTCAGTCAGTCGGAGCTGCTGCCCACGCACACACACACACTAACAGAGAGGGATGATGATGATGATGATGGAGGTGAAGAGGTGACGCAGATTCATGCTGATCGCTCGGAGGCTGAGATGGAAACAAAAGAGTGGGAGAAAGAGACAGAGAGACGCACACACTCGTTCAGCCCGGCAGTCATGAAGAGCTGAAATTAATGCGTCTCCCTGTTTCTTTGTCGCTCTGACAATCACGGGCCAAGGATCCCTGTGCGTCGTGCAAGTGTGTGTGTTAGTGTGTGTTAGTCGTGCAAGTGTGTGTGTTAGTGTGTGTTAGTCGTGCAAGTGTGTGTGTTAGTGTGTGTGTTAGTCGTGCAAGTGTGTGCGTTAGTTGTGCAAGTGTGTGTGTTAGTGTGTGCGTTAGTTGTGCAAGTGTGTGCGTTAGTTGTGCAAGTGTGTGTGTTAGTTGTGTAAGTGTGAGTGTTAGTTGTGCAAGTGTGAGTGTTAGTCGTGCAAGTGTGTGTGTTAGTGTGTGTTAGTCGTGCAAGTGTGTGTGTTAGTGTGTGTGTTAGTCGTGCAAGTGTGTGTGTTAGTGTGTGTGTTAGTCGTGCAAGTGTGTGTGTTAGTGTGTGTGTTAGTCGTGCAAGTGTGTGCGTTAGTTGTGCAAGTGTGTGTGTTAGTGTGTGCGTTAGTTGTGCAAGTGTGTGCGTTAGTTGTGCAAGTGTGAGTGTTAGTTGTGCAAGTGTGAGTGTTAGTTGTGCAAGTGTGTGCGTTAGTTGTGCAAGTGTGTGCGTTAGTTGTGTAAGTGTGAGTGTTAGTTGTGCAAGTGTGTGCGTTAGTTGTGCAAGTGTGTGCGTTAGTTGTGCAAGTGTGTGCGTTAGTTGTGCAAGTGTGTGTGTTAGTTGTGTAAGTGTGAGTGTTAGTTGTGCAAGTGTGTGTGTTAGTTGTGTAAGTGTGAGTGTTAGTTGTGCAAGTGTGTGCGTTAGTTGTGCAAGTGTGTGCGTTAGTTGTGTTTAGTTGTGTAAGTGTGTGTGTTAGTTGTGTAAGTGTGTGTGTTAGTTGTGCAAGTGTGTGCGTTAGTTGTGTAAGTGTGTCTCAGTCGTACCTTCAGCAGATCTTTGGGGAAGTCTTTTCCATCGTTGAGACCTTCCAGGTTGGAGACGAACTGGCTGCTGGACATCCTCTTCCCCACGTTCTGAACACACACACAGTTTTAAATAACTGTGTTAGTTGTATTTAAATAAAGTTGGGGGCCGAACGAGAGTCGGGTTAAAATCAGAAAGGTCCGAAAAGAAGCAGAACCTGAATCCTACATTTCCCATAATTCACCTGGACAGAATAGGTGAGGTGCATCACTTCCTTTATAATTTATTTAAACACTATTTAACAAGAGTTTTTTCTGTACAGTGTTACGGTAACGTCAACAAGCAGGAAGAAGTCTGTGAGAAAATGTTTCTACTTGTCAGCTGATTTATTCCCTCAGTAAACTCTTTCCTGATGAGTTTCTGGTCTCAGTCGCTAGTTTCAAGTCTTCTTCAACACAGCATGATGTTCATTTAGTAAATTATGGTCCCATTTAGAGGAACAGAGACCAGGAAGCAGGGGAGGCTTCAGGGTGGAGCTACCTCGTGGATGGAGGCGACTCGTATCCGCTGCTCTGTGTACATTTAACCAGCGCCGCTGAAAAAGCTCATCAGGAGACCTGCTAACATTTACGCATCTTCAGGTCCGCTCAACATCCACGACCCCCCTGAAGCAGCTCTGCGCCCCCCAGTTTCACAACCTTTGTCTCACAATGCGTTTTTATTTAGCTTTAAAGTTTTGTTTCTGTTTGCAAGTTAGTTTCTTTTAAGGAGAGAAAACGACAGAAATATACGTTACTGTGACTTAAGATCTAAGCAGGCGTGACCTGCTCCTGTTCAGCAGCAGATATATATACTTTTACTGCAGGACGAGTACTTTTACTGTGACACTCAGTACGTGATATATACTTTTACTGCAGGACGAGTACTTTTACTGTGACACTCAGTACGTGATATATACTTTTACTGCAGCACGAGTACTTTTACTGTGACACTCTCAGTACGTGATATATATACTTTTACTGCAGGACGAGTACTTTTACTGTGACACTCTCAGTACGTGATATATATACTTTTACTGCAGGACGAGTACTTTTACTGTGACACTCTCAGTACGTGATATATATACTTTTACTGCAGCACGAGTACTTTTACTGTGACACTCTCAGTACGTGATATATATACTTTTACTGCAGGACGAGTACTTTTACTGTGACACTCTCAGTACGTGATATATATACTTTTACTGCAGGACGAGTACTTTTACTGTGACACTCTCAGTACGTGATATATATACTTTTACTGCAGCACGAGTACTTTTACTGTGACACTCTCAGTACGTGATATATATACTTTTACTGCAGCACGAGTACTTTTACTGTGACACTCTCAGTACGTGATATATATACTTTTACTGCAGGACGAGTACTTTTACTGTGACACTCAGTACGTGATATATACTTTTACTGCAGGACGAGTACTTTTACTGTGACACTCAGTACGTGATATATACTTTTACTGCAGCACGAGTACTTTTACTGTGACACTCTCAGTACGTGATATATATACTTTTACTGCAGGACGAGTACTTTTACTGTGACACTCTCAGTACGTGATATATATACTTTTACTGCAGGACGAGTACTTTTACTGTGACACTCTCAGTACGTGATATATACTTTTACTGCAGGACGAGTACTTTTACTGTGACACTCTCAGTACGTGATATATATACTTTTACTGCAGCACGAGTACTTTTACTGTGACACTCTCAGTACGTGATATATATACTTTTACTGCAGGACGAGTACTTTTACTGTGACACTCTCAGTACGTGATATATACTTTTACTGCAGGACGAGTACTTTTACTGTGACACTCTCAGTACGTGATATATATACTTTTACTGCAGCACGAGTACTTTTACTGTGACACTCTCAGTACGTGATATATATACTTTTACTGCAGCACGAGTACTTTTACTGTGACACTCTCAGTACGTGATATATATACTTTTACTGCAGCACGAGTACTTTTACTGTGACACTCTCAGTACGTGATATATACTTTTACTGCAGGACGAGTACTTTTACTGTGACACTCAGTACGTGATATATACTTTTACTGCAGGACGAGTACTTTTACTGTGACACTCTCAGTACGTGATATATATACTTTTACTGCAGGACGAGTACTTTTACTGTGACACTCAGTACGTGATATATACTTTTACTGCAGGACGAGTACTTTTACTGTGACACTCTCAGTACGTGATATATATACTTTTACTGCAGTACAGACTGTGATGGTTTATTTAAAGCTCATCTAAACGCTGTGATCGTGTCACTACTGCTCTCGCTCACTCAGCTAAGAGGAAGTGAGCCCGGACTGTGTGATTGGACAGCTTGTAGTCGCGGCAACGGTCATCACTTCCTTTAAACAAGTTAGCAGAAGTCCCGTCACTTCAGTGACTCGCTCGCACTGCGGTGCAGCTCAGCTCCATCTGAGGAGGACCTGAGGATGAAGAGCTACAAAGGTCAAACCAGGACACGTGAGACGGCCCTGGTGGGCAGTCCTCTACAGTCCTTTATGTTTCCTGTCCCTCAGGAGGAGGAGGAGCCTCTGGCTCTGATGAACAGCTGATCGACAGTCTGAAGGAAAAGCTTTCAAAGGCGGGACTCACGTTTCCATGAAGGTCTGTGTTCAGCAGCATGACGGCACAGGTCAGAGTGTGGACGCTGTCTGAGGGAGACACAGGTGAGAGACACAGGTGAGACACAGGTGAGAGACAGGTGAGACACGTACAGGTGAGAGAGACAGGTGAGAGACAGGTGAGAGACACCATGTGAGACACGTACAAGTGAGAGAGACAGGTGAGACACACAGGTGAGAGAGACAGGTGAGACACATACAAGTGAGAGAGACAGGTGAGATACATGCAGGTGAGAGAGACAGGTGAGACACATACAAGTGAGAGAGACAGGTGAGACACATGCAGGTGAGAGAGACAGGTGAGACACATACAAGTGAGAGAGACATGTGAGACACGTACAAGTGAGAGAGACAGGTGAGACACATACAAGTGAGAGAGACAGGTGAGACACATGCAGGTGAGAGAGACAGGTGAGACACATACAAGTGAGAGAGACATGTGAGACACATACAAGTGAGAGAGACAAGTGAGAGAGACAGGTGAGATACATGCAGGTGAGAGAGACAGGTGAGACACATACAAGTGAGAGAGACAGGTGAGACACATGCAGGTGAGAGAGACAGGTGAGACAGAAAAGTGAGACAGACAGGTGAGACACGTACAAGTGAGAGAGACAGGTGAGACACATGCAGGTGAGAGAGACAGGTGAGACACAGGTGAGAGACACATACATGTGAGAGAGACAGGTGAGACATGTACAAGTGAGAGAGACAGGTGAGACACATGCAGGTGAGAGAGACAGGTGAGACACATACAAGTGAGAGAGACAGGTGAGACACATACAAGTGAGAGAGACAGGTGAGACACATACAAGTGAGACAGACAGGTGAGACACGTACAAGTGAGAGAGACAGGTGAGACACATGCAGGTGAGAGAGACAGGTGAGAGAGACAGGTGAGACAGAAAAGTGAGACAGACAGGTGAGATACATACAAGTGAGAGACACAGGTGAGACAGAGGTGAGACACATCCAGGTGAGACACATACAAGTGAGAGACACAGGTGAGACACATCCAGGTGAGACACATACAAGTGAGAGACACAGGTGAGACACATCCAGGTGAGACACATACAAGTGAGAGACACAGGTGAGACACATCCAGGTGAGACACATACAAGTGAGAGACACAGGTGAGACACATACAAGTGAGAGACACAGGTGAGACACATACAAGTGAGAGAGACAGGTGAGACACATACAAGTGAGAGAGACAGGTGAGACACATGCAGGTGAGAGACAGGTGAGACACATGCAGGTGAGAGACACAGGTGAGACACATGCAGGTGAGAGACAGGTACCTTCAGTGGTCAGGCTCTCCGGGTTGCACTCTCTGTACCTCCTGGAGAACTGAGCGAGGACTCTCTCTCTCTCCTGACTTTCTCCCACCAGAGCAAACCGGGTCAGAAACGACCTGAAGGCCACAAACACACACCGTCAGGAAGCCCTGTGATTGGACGTTCCTTACTGAAATGCATGCTGGGAGCCGCAGTTTTTAAGGTTATATGCATGTCCTCGGTCTTCTGGTACCTTTGAGTCTTTATTAAAGAAGCATTTCTACCACAGCTGCTGATGAAGCAGGCTGCGAGTCACCTGACAGGAAACTACCATGAAGCTGTGTTTTAATGTGGATCAGAGGGAGGAGAGAGCTGACCTGAGCGCCTGATCGATGGTCAGCCCCGTGAAGTTAAAGTTACTGAGATACTCCTCTGCGACCAGCTGACTGAACTCATTACTGCAGAGACACAGAAGAAGAATTAATAACCAATCACAGCCCTCCACCGGGCTCAAGGCGTCGGACACAAACACACACTGACTTCTTGCCGAGGTGTCGAGCCACGTCCGACTTCCTGAAGCCGTCCAGGTTGTAGAGGCGTTTGGCGAGACGTTTGGCCGCCTGCAGGTCGGCCTTCGTGCCGTTGGCCAGCGCGTCATCGCTGCCGCCGAGCGCCAGGCGCTCCGCCACGTCGTCCTGCGGGTACAGCAGCTCGGGCGGGCGGTTCCCCGGTCGCTCCCTGACAACACAAACACACACATTTCAGGACTTTCAGGTCCGTTTTCTTGTTCTGCTGTGAGGCGACAGCTTCCTGTTCTCAGAGTTCCTCTAAGCTGAAAGCTGTCAGCAGGGTGGTGACGGCGTCAGATCTTCACGGTACAGTTTCACAGTTTCACAGCGTACAGCAGTTAAAGAAAACAGAAGAACCAGTTATTCCATCCTGACAAAGCTGGAAAACTTTGTTTTTAAAAAGGACATGTAGAAATAAATAAGCTGAGCTTTTATTTTGCGGTAGATAATCAAATAAGATAAGGTCTAATCATCCCGCGCTGCAACTGCCGTCACTCATCACTACTTTATTTTATTTTATTTAATACTTTATTCTCTGCTTCTTTAACAGGGTTTAAAAAGGAGAGCAGAAGGAAACTCATCAGTAGGAATTGGAGGGTTTTCCTTCAGACTCTGGTGGGTCAGCTTTAGCTCCACGGGTCCAGCTCAGGATCTCTGTTGTAGTTTCTACCTGCGTCTCTGTGGTCTCGGAGTTTAGTTTCACTCCCGTGTTCCCGTTTGGACTTTCAGACATCAGCCTTCTGCTGACCTTAACCGACGTAGGACGGGGGAACTACGTGCACCTTTGAGGAACAGGTGGGGGGGGGGGGTATAACTCCACACAGGAAGTCCTGATACTTCTGCTGTAAATATCTGAGACTGTTCAGCAGCCGCCTCACCTGAATGATCCAAACATTTAAAGTGCTGATTCAAAACCATAAAGTTCATCTTGTTCTGCCGTCTCACTGAATGAACGCTGACTGGTGACCCTGGTGACCCTGGTGACCCCCCCCCCGCCCCCCCCCGCAGTGAAAGAGCAGGCAGACTCCAGGACCCTGGGGGAGGTCTGAGGGTCTGGGCACTGTTTGAACCTCAAGACCAAACCGGCATCTGTCAGGACTCAAAGCCTTGAGTCATCGTTTTCTGCAGAGTAACCCGCTGAATGTTATGTTTCCATGGTTACAGTGCAAACAGGAAATGCTGGCAGCTAAAAGCAGCACGTCTCCTGATGATGCAGATTGAACTTCTGAATACAAAGATTAGATATCTGAATATAGAAAATTACACGCTATCTACACGCAGGAAATGATTCTGCATTTTCTTTTAGATCCAACCCAAACCCCAAAGCATGATGGGAACCCAGGTGGCAAAAATAAGAGAAAAAATGACAAGAAATGGATGGAAATTTGATTCATTCAAAAAAACAAGCTCTGGAGAACTTCAGTCTACTGAAACACCTAAACTACATTCTGTTCAGACCTTCATGTTCCTCTGACGTTCCCTCCAGCGCCACCATCGGGTCGACGTGTTAATGTGTCCAACACTTTGCTTTATGACCAAACACCTGCAGAACTAAAGACATTCCCATCAGCTGTCGGCCACAGCAGAGATTTCTTTGCACGGACCGACAGCAAAAGTCACACGAGAGGACAAAGAGACTGTGGCGGCGGGAAACAGAGTGGGAGTCGACGCAAAGTCAATACGGAGACCTGCACAGTACAAGTGTAGAATAAAGTATTTTAATAAAAACACCAAAACTCTGTCAGCAGCATCGTGTTCCTGCTTTTCATGACTGATGAGGGCCAATCAGGAAGCCAAACGTGGGCGTCTGCGTCATCGTTTTCACCTGTCAGCACTAACACGCTCTCCGGAGTTTCAGCAGCGTTTTAATCTTCTCCGTTTTAGGTCTCTGGATTCGCCGTTTCAGTCTGGACGGGAGGCGGAGACGCAGCAGAAGGTCTGAGTTTTAAAAGGAAGACGTAGGAGCGAGGACGGAGAACATGGTGAACGGGTGCCACGACGGTCGTTCAGACAACGACCCCACAGAGGTGCAACAGTTTCCCTAGTCTCGGACGAGGACTAGGAAGAGGACTCCTCGTGTCTCGTGTAATATAACAACTGCTCAACATCAGCACGTTAGCATTTAGCTCAAAGCGAACGCAGCCTCGCACAGCTGCAGACCTTCTCCAAGTCTCCCCACGTGTGGCGGCAGCGACCCAGATCTGCAGCATGTGGGACATTAGTAAAAATAAACTGTTCCTCAGTGACCTCAAACATGTTCTTCACATTCACGCTGATCGGTGAAGAAGTGACACGCTGACTTATCGGTTTTCTGTCCGTCTTTTTAACCTGCAGTGAAGTTACATGGGAGTCTTTACTTGTTCTCTCACACTCAGAAACAACCGGCTCGACCTGTCCCACATGCAAATGACCACATCTACACAAATGACATGTAAAGTCCCGCCGCTCTTCTCTCCCTCTCTAAACTTTAAACACTATGATCCAGTATAACGTGTTAGCACAGAAATGCATGATTAAATACTTGAGATATTTAATACTTCCATCCATCTGTTCCTCTGTAAACACGCTGTAACGTTCCCTCCAGCTGCCTCGCAGTCTGCAGCCTATTTTTAACTGCAGTGTTTGCTGCTGCATCGACCGGCGGCCCCTCAGGGATCAATAACACACTTTCATTCACTCTCACTTCGGTGCAGCCCGGCTGAACTCCGCCTGATGTAACGCACCTCTCTGCTGCCGTTGAAAGGAGTCCGTTCTCCATCAGCCGTCCGTCATCGCCGCCTCGCTTTGAATAAATCCACTCTGTCAAACAGAGCAACTCGAGCACCGGGAGGAAATGAAGTCAGAGTTGTGAATGAGAGTCAGAAAGTAGGAAGTGGTTGAACCGCAGCGTGGTCGACCTCTACTTCCCTAATGAACGCCAACTTCCCTCCAGCGGACCGGGCTCGCTCAGGTGTGGCAGGTAAACATCTCTCCTTCACGATGAAAGATGTGTCGACGCGACGAGGAGCTCTTAAAGGGGAACTTCCACTAAAAGGTGAGTTTATACAGTAAAACTTCTATGTCCTTGTGCTGCACCTGAATTTCCCCTCTGGAGATCAGAACTGACGAAGACTCTCGGATGAGGGACGAAGCGTCTTCTAGTATCTTCAACCAGGTCCAGACTTTAACCTTCTGTGGATAACTTTACCCAGGAACTCTTCTAGAGACTTTATCCCCAAAGAGTCCCTGCTGGGGGGGGTAGTACTTTCCGAAAGTACTGGTACTTTGGGGGGGGAGGGGCTTGCCTAGCAGTGAATTTCTGAATGGGTGAGTGGAGGCTACTGGATTTAACCCTGTTGGTCACCGCCACCTAGTTCCAGGAAGATCTACCTAAAATAATAATAAAAATGAATCAGGAATATCTCCTCAACCATCAGGCCTAGATCCATCATTCTGGTCTCCTTTGAAAGGTCAGAAGCTGAGGAACATGAATCCATCCTCTGTGTCCATAATATAATAAACTAATTGAATTCAGAGCAAAGACTTTGCCAATAGAAGCCATTTGGAATCGGGAGCTTTAACATAACTCTAGACTGGAACAGAGTGCGGTTCAATCTTACGATCAAATCTCACTTCAACTAATTCCCTTTAAAACCCATTCACAGAGCATAAGAGACGTCGGATGAGACTACAGGCTGCACATGTTCTGGACCCGTCCTGTTCTCTCTCAGTACTTGATACTGTTTATGTTCAACAGCAGCCTTGTTAACTTGGTCAATCTGGAACCACGACTCAACAAGGCTCCGCCAGAAACTGCAGAAGCCTGGAAAAACTTTGTCTAATCTTATCTTTTGGAAAAGATTTAATAGCTGGGGGGCAAAACACCTGCCCAATTACTTCACTGTAATATAACTGTTATGCCTTTGTGATGTATTTTCATTCTACCACTGCTATAATAGATGTCCTTGTTCATGGATATGTCTGCACCCCCCCTATACTAATAAAAATGTTGATCACAAAAAAATAAACCCATCATACATTATTTTACAATTACAGACAAAATGGAGATGCAATAAAGAGAAATATGATATTTTCATCCTCGCCTGGTAAAAAAAAATATTTTGAAATAAATAAACCATCAAAACCATCATGAAATGGATTATAATGCATCTGAATATCTTGTAATACACCTGGAATGCAACTGTAAATTTAATGAAAATAAAGTAAAATACAACAGTTATCACACAATATTTATAAAATATACCAGGCGAATCATATTTTGGTAATATTTCATGTTTAAATGTTGACTTTTATTGGGAGTTGGGTTTTGTTGGGAAGTTTAAAACCCTATTTCTGTCCAGCCACGTTCCAAATAACATGAAGCTGAAATATTGATAAAAACAGTGAACACGGATCAATTTTCCAGCGACCAAAAGCACTCCCATGCTTTACAGGCCTGCAGCGTGTCCCTCTGTGATGGGGGGGGACATCAATCGACCCGGACTGAGCAGACCTTTCATTTGATGCAGCTCCTACTGGTCGGCCACCAGACCGCCAAAAAAGACTGTTCCAAAGCGTCACTCAGACGTGATGCTGCAGCTGATCTGCAGCTCCTGTCGGCTGGAAATGTTTTAATAAATTTTGTGTTTCTTTCTCTGTGCTGGAGTTATTTTAAGAACTGGATGGTTTTATTTTATCCAGTTTGTTATTAAATGTGTAACAAACTTAATCCCGTGTGTCTTTTCATTACACTCCACACAAAAAGCTGATTTTAATGGTCTGTAGTCTTTCATTATATTCCAGGCAAATGTTGCAGATATAATGATGCCTGTGATCTTAATCTGCAGGTCTTTTCTCTATTAATTGATGGTTCGGTTAATAAAGTGTTAGACAATAGTGAAAAATAGTGCAAGGTTAAATTAATTAATTATATTCCGTTAACATGAGAAAGTGGAGAAGCTCTTCTTAACTCAACCTGTCACTTCCTGTGCAACGTACAGAGGCGACGAGCGAAGCATCAGGAAGGAACTTTGTCCAGATTTAACAAACGAGATAAAACGTGTTAATCTGGTGCTGGACCGAGCCAGGCTAGCTGCCTCGCCCTGTTTCTAGTCTTTATGCTAAGCTAAGCGGCTGCAGCTTCATTTTTCCCGTCCAGACATGAGCGGGATCAATTTTATTTTATCTCAC